ATATTTGAATATTGAGATTTCCCAGCTGAAAAGAAACAAAACATTTTTAGCTCACAGGGAAAATCTCAAAATTTTATGGTGTTTTTCCTCAAAATCATTTTTTTTGTTGCCACTGCTAAAAAAAAGCTTCATAATTTTGTTTTATGATTATATTTCAGACAGTTCATTTAAATGATACGTTGGTAAGGCGTTTATTCATTATGTTTTGACAAAGTGCAATTTTTGCAAACGTTTTAATCAAAACACTATTTGTCTATTTCTCCATTTATACTGCTTTTGGACTTAATCCTCGTTTTAATGTGATGGGTCACAAATGTTAATTTAATTACGAGATATTTTGCTAACAGTGCAGACCCTCTGTGATAATTCAATCCTAGAAAAAACCTCACGTCGCCTGCAAACAAGCAACAACCAATTTATAGAAAAACTGAATTAAAAGTTCAAAGACATTTTAAAAATGTCTCATTTGCTGAGTTTTTCAGCTGCGCAGGAGCAAAAACACATCCCTAAATCCGAAATTTAAAAGAAACAGCTTCCTCAGTTCTTGATTTGTAATCAGAATTATGATGCGTTCACTGACCCTCAGAAATCTGGATACAAACTATTTCTGCTGTAATGTTTTACCATTTCTAAAAACTGCAAATTTTCATAAAAATACAGATTTTGGTGGAAAAAAGAAGCYACTAAAGCTCGAGGTTTGACCAGCTACATTCTGATAAACAAAAGTTATTAAAAATCTGATTTTTTTAAGGATCAGGGTTTATGAAGACGACCTTTGACCCCGAGGAGCTGCTTAGTGTTTATTAACCAGCTGTTTTGTCACTCAGCATTTTMTCTGCAGTGGGATGTTTTTAAGAGCATTTTCAGCTCATTTCAGCTGCAGACGCTTTGTAAACGTCTCTATTTAGCTGTTTTTTAATCACATGTTGGAGTTTAATCAGTTCTCACACAGAAGAATAGCTAAAAATTCTTTATTTTGTATCATAAAAACTTCATTTCATTCCATTTTAAAAGACAAATGTAAAAAAAAACATTGAAATTAAGTTTATTTCATGAAAACACCCTGATATTTGTGACAAAAGGAGACGATGTTTATGTAAAAAAGATAAGAAACAAACTCTTTGAAAATGTGGGTTTCTGACTTTTTATAGCAAAATAAAAAATCCTAAACGGTCCCTGATGAAACGCTTTCTTATCTCTGATCCGATAACGTGTTAAAACACTAAAATCTAATTTTCAAACTTTTATTGCCATAAAACCAACACCTCCCTCAGCATTAAAGCAACGAGGACGTGATCTCGAACAAGGAGCGATAAAATGTAAACTGAGCAGCAGGAGGCRAAGGCTTTAATGGCAAACAGGTTATTTTATGGAATCAGAAGTTCGTCTGATAAAACATCTCGCTTTTCTCCATTTCAAACCTAAAACCGTAAAAGKCTAAATGTTTTTATCTATGTACAGTCAATATGTTTTATTTGGTTTTTCATTTACATTATTCACAATTTTTAAATCCTTTTCAGTCGGGACGTTTATTTGGTAAATTTGATGGAGTGCTGCTTAATATAAGCAGATTAAAAGTAACATTTCAGAGGATAATTTAAGCTTCTCATTAGAACAGAAACTTCCTGGATTAAATATAAAAAAAAGCAATAAATCATTCGGCGCCTGATGTGTCCCATCAGATCAGATGTCCGTCTCAGCTTGCAGAGAGCCGTCCCTCAAAGTGAGGGAGGTGTGACAGGAGTCCAGGCTGAAGGCAGCCGGCCGTCATACTGAGCCGCAGCGTCCTGCGCCTCCAGGGCCGAGCTGCTGTCGTACAACGGAGATCCAGAGGGGGGCGCCGGCACCGAATGAGACAGGCCGGGGTAGTGGCCCGAGGACCCCCGGAAGAACTGGGAGCCGAGGCAGCTGTTGATCCCCCCGCTCTGAGACACCGGGGTGAGGGCTGAGTTACTCACAGACCACAGGCTGCTGTACTGACTGCAGAGACACAAAACTCATCTTCGTAAGACGTTTCAGCAAGTTTTACTTCAAAATATTGTATTTATTGCATACATAATGTTAAATATGACATGTAATGGATGTTAAACCAGGAGAGYTGCTTTAATGTGCAGAAATCAGAGGTAATTTCTTCAAATGTGACTTTTTTTTCAAGTTTTCAAAGTTCTTTATGAGCAAAACAACACTCAAAAAACAGATTGTTGGATTTAATTAACTAAGTTATGTCACTAAACTGACTGAGTTGACTAAATGTAAAACTTGCACATTTACGTTAAACTTAACTCAGATAAGTGGAAATCTTTGACATAACTTAAGTTAAGGAAATTCAACAATCTGTTTCTTGAGCTAACTTTATTTATTCTGATTTTGTGTTTTTTTACTTTTGCTTTACAACTGAAAAAACTGAAGTGTTGGATTTACATCAAGTTATTACCACTCAAAGCAACTTTCATGTTTTCTTTAAAAAAAAATGTGAAACTTAATTTCCCTTTACTSAACTCAGTTAAGTGGAAATTGTTGGCATAATTTGGTTAAACAAATCAAAACAATCTGTTTTTTGAGTGTTTGTTACTGTTGGTGAATCTGAAATGTATAAGCTTTATTTGTAACTTTTTGTAAAGTTTGATTATTAGTTTAGTTTGTTTTTTTCTTTTGTTTCTACACTGTAAAAAATGAAATGTTGGATTTACTTAACCATGTTATGTTACCTGTTACCTGGTTCCACTTAACTGAGCTGAGTAAATTCAAAGCAATATGCCAGTTTTTTAGCCAAAGAACATGAATATGTTGCTTTGAATTTACTCATCTCAGTTAAGTGGAACCAGGTAACATAACATGGTTACGTAAATCCAACATTTCATTTTTAGAGTGTAGTTTTACTTCTTTCTACCATGTTTCAGACCTGTTAAATGGGATTTGTGTGTGTGTGTGTGTGTGTGTGTGTGTGTGTGTGTGTGTGTGTGTGTGTGTGTGTGTGTGT